CCAAACCCATTATAGTTGAAGGTAGCCCCTTTGAATTTATATAAGAATTCACATAGAGCTTGAGTTAATCAGCATTTAAGATTATTAGATGGGTGTGGGTTAGGGGGAAGTTATAATCATTCTCTCCTTAAATCTTGATCCTTTTAAGGTATGTAATACTTATTGATGATTAATATATATTTTCATTCTTTTTTTATACTTTCAATATTAATTGAAAATAATAATTACAGATTATGAAAATATTATCAAGAATAGAGTAGATTATGTTAGGATAAAGTTTATTCTTTTTTGAAATTAATCTTTGTTATTCATTGTGTCTTTTCTTTTTTATAAACTAAAAATCTAAATTTTAATAAAACATTCATGAACATTTTTAAAACTCAACCTGTTTACTCTTCTTAGAAATTTAATAATGTATTGTACATATCTATAAATATTAATTTATAACTGTTGTATCTGACATCTCAAGATTTACCAAATATTTAAATAGCATTTAACTAAAATGGTTTACTAACTTGCTTGAAATGGAATACTATTGTACTTATCAATATTAAGAATTTGAAGATCAAGAATTGAAACAAAAGAAACGCAACTTCCTTTAGATTTAAACAATGGTTTTAAATCTATCCTTTAATAATTCATGAATTGACCTTAGAAGATAAGTGTTCCTGATGCTTGGAACAAAGGGTTCTAGCATATTCTATGTATTGTACGATCAGGATTAACTAAATAATAATATATATTTAATACCATTTGGCAATTAGGATTTAAGTATTTCCTTTTTGATGTTTTTATATTCCAAAGACGGATAGAGTTATCATAACTACCAAAAGCTAATGTATTTCCATCATCAGGGAGTAACAAATTGAAGTAACATAATCTGAATGACCATCTAATTTGGCTTATTATTCTCCGGATTTGTGAGTCAAAAAACTATGTAGGTACGACCCCCGAATTTGTGAGTCAAAAAACTATGCAGGTATCACCCATAAATTTGTGAGTCAAAAAACTATGCAGGTATGACTATAAGTAAATCGATGATTTCTTATTAATAATTTTTTATCTGAGGGTTTGATTAAATTTTTCTATTCAATTTAGCATCATAAATATGTATTAACTCGTTCTCTGTATTTGTTTGTTTCACATTTTTTAAGAGTTGATTCTGAAATATGTTAATGTATTAAATGATTATAAATATTAATCAATTTTCATCGTTTTATAATTCAATTTGGTTCTCTAAAATGAAACTTCCACTTTGTTTAAATAATGTCCTCAAGTCTATACCAGATTGATTAATAAATTCACCTTTCAAAATTAAAGCACCTTATGATCGAAATTTAAGCTAATTTGATATGACAAGGTAATTTACAGGAGAATTTACTATATAACGAAGAAAATAAATACCACTTTATTGAATTAGGTTGTTGTAAAAGTTTTGAGATGAAAATTAAGCTACAATATCTTGATAACGAGTATCTGAAGATAAGATTTATTATCCTGTCTTAACATCCCATAAAAGGATAGACTTATCTGCACTACCAGATGCTAATGTAGTACCATCAGGAGAGTAACAAATTGAATTAACTGTATTTGAATGACCATCTAATTTGGCTTTTTATTATCCTGTCTTAACATCCCATAAACGGATAGA